AACTGAACTAGCCCCAGTGAAAATGTATCTTCATGAAGTGTTGTACCTCACTTCAGCAACCTCATGCTGTAGCTCAGACAAAAGCAGTGAATCTTGTGATGGCATATTGAATTAGCAGTCAGCAAGCAGTCCTGGCTATATCCCGCTAGCCCAGGAGTGCAGACAACTGCCTAAAAATGTCCTCCTCACAGTAGTAGGATAGCAGCCTTACAGTAAATGTCATGAATTGGGGCAGGGGCAAGAGGGAACAGAAAAACTAAAGTGTAAATACAATACAATTAGTTATTTCTCTATTTTACTTCTTTTGGGGGGGGTGGATTTTTCCTTTTTGTTTTTTTTTTAGAAACAGGATCTGGCTCTGTCACCCAGCTGGACCGTAGTGACATAATCTCAGCTCACTTCAAGCTCTGCCTTCCAGGTTCAAGTGATTCTCCCACCTCAGCCTCCCAAGTAGCTGGGACTACAAGCACACGCCACCACACGCAACTATATACTCTCTTATCCGTATTATAATTCCCTAGCAAATTCAAAGTTTCCTAATTCATTTTTTTTCTTGAGGTGGGGTCTCACTCTGTCACCTAGGCCAGAATGCAATGGCACCATCATGGCTCACTGTAGCCTGAACCATCTAGTTTCAAGCAGTCCTCCCACCTTGGCCTCCCATACTGCTAGGATTACAGGCATAAGCCACTATGCCCAGCCCTGAATTCTATTATTAATTTTTTTTTTTTTTTTTTGAGATAGGTTCTCACTCTGTTGCCCAGGCTGGAGTACAGTGGCTCAATCTTGGCTCACTGCAACCTCTGCCTCCTGGGCCCAAGCAGTCCTACCACCTCAGCCTTCCAAGTAGCTAGGACTACAAGTACACACCACCATGCCCAGCTAATTTTTTTGTTTGTTTGTTTTTTTGAGAGACGGGGTTTTGCCATGTTTCCCAGGCTGTACTTCTGAGCTCAAGTGATCCGCTCACCTCAGCCTCCCTCAGTGTTGGGATTACAGGTGTGAGGCACTGTGCCCAGCCCTGAATTCATTTTTTAAATGATATTCAGAGGATTATCCTATCTTAATCTTCATAGTTCTTTTAACAATGTTGTAATTTTTCCTTTGTATAATACAGAAAATCCCACTGAAATAATTTTTTATTTACATATTTTAGAAACAGAAAATATGAAGTTCTTATAAAAAAAAAAAAGACAATCCATGAGACAGAAGGTGGGGAGGGTTTAGGGGAAAATAAGAAACTCAATATTTGGTCAGGCGCAATGGCTCAGGCCCGTAATCCCAGCACTTTGAGAAGCCAAGGCAGGTGGATTGCTTGAGCTCCAGAGTTTGAGACCAGCCTGAGCAACATGATGAAAACCCTTCTCTACAATATAAGCAAAAATTACCCAGGTGTGGTGGCGTATACCTGTAATCCCAGCTACTTAGGAGGCTGAGGTTGGAGGGTCTATTGAGCCTAGGAGTTCAAGGCTTCAGTGAGCCATGATTACACCACTGTACACCAGCCTAGGTGACAGAGTGAGACCCTGTCTCAAAAATAATAATAGTAATCAACTCAATTTTTGTTATGAAATTTTAAAGAATTATTAAAGATGGTAATATAGTTGTATGGTATATTGGGAAAATCATTAAATTGGAATTTGAAGAATTTATTTTTTGCTGTTTTTAACCATTAGATAGCTATGTGATCTTGGGAAAATCATCTAACCTCAGTTTTCTTGACTGTAATATGAGTATATAATTATACTTGTGAGAGAGATGTCAAGAGAGAAAGAGAATACACATTCATATTAAAACTCTTTGTTACAGCAGAAAATTAGGAGAAAACTAAATCTTGTCACCACAGAGATTAAAATAAGATTCCATACTGTCCGATTATATAAATTTAAAGATCACTTCGGAGAACTTTAGCCCTCCACTCTTTAAGCAGAAAAACTTCACCTAAAGAGGCCTATGGTCTGGTTCAGATTCAAGGGGAGAAATTTTTGTTAGAAAGGAAGGTGCAATTATAGCAAGACAGTCTAGAAGTGTTGGCTGATTCCCTCTTGGAAAATCCTTGGGCAGTAATTCTGACTTTGCCTGGGGATTGTAAGAGAATATTACTATGATCAGCTCTGGGATAGGAATGTGCTTAAGAAGCACATTTTAGAAGTGCCTTACTCCTGCCAGAGAACTCTGGGGATTTCCTGAAACTTTAGTGTCTGCCTAGCAAGGAGTGTCTGGTTGTAATTAGTCAGATTTCTGTTGTGTCATTTTTGTGGTAAGTTAAAAATTTCATTACAGTTAATTAGTCATACATATATAAATTATATATATATATTTGAGACGGTTTTACTCTGTCCCCTGAGCCAGAATACAGTGGCATGTTCTTGGCTCACTACAACCTCCACCTCCTGGGTTCAAGTGATTCTCCTGCCTCAGCCTCCCAAGTAGTTGAATTACGCACACGCACCACCACACCTGGCTAATTTTTGTATTTTTAGTAGAGATGGGCTTTCACTATGTTTGCCATGCTGATCTCGAACTCCTCATTTCAAGTGATCTACCCGATTCGGCCTCCCAAAATGCTGACATTATAGGCATGAGCCACTGATCCCAGCCTAATATGTCATATTTTAATTAGACCTAATTCAGAGCTGATTTTTCTAAGACTATCCTTCTACCTGTTTGTACCTTTATCATTTATTTTGGGAGTAAGTGGTTTTAGACTATGAGTTCTGAGTTCATATCCTGAATATAATTTAGGCTTTCTGAAATAGCAACCCTGCTATGTGCTGATACGGCAGGTTGCAGCCTACCTAATATGAGAGCTCATCCTGATCAAGTATAACTATAGGATAGGAATTTTGCTTTCATCAGCTGTTGAGGCTTTGTGATGAGTCTGTGTCCTTAGCTCAGGGCCAAATGTGGCCCAAGAGCCCAAGTGCACACACAGCTGTTCCCCTGTAGCCTTAGCTTCTCACTGGCTCCTTCCCTTGCTTGGATGGCCCTCTGCTCTGGGTCTTACCCTGCTCTCCTGGGTCCTTAACAACTTACTCAGCTCTTGCCAGACACTTCTCACCAGGGATTCCTCCCAACTCCCCTGCACATAACTACAGCCTGGATTCTCCCCAGCTCTACAGCTTGCAGTATTGCACTGTCTAGAGACTCCTATTGCTATACCTCACACTATAGGACAGACTTCCTGGTCCTACTAAAGCCAACCTAGATCAACCCAAGTTAATCACATCCTCACGAGCACTGTGATTTGAGCTGCTGGCCATCCCTGAGGGAACCAGCCCATAGCCCAGTTATCGCCTTGGCCATTGTGGGTTTCTTCCCTTTGCAGGGACCTGCTGCTAGCATTCCATTGTGCACTAATACTAGCTAGGGAGGGTTCCAACTCCAGTCATGCCAGCCTACACAAATTCTCCAGGGACCCAAAGGGAGGTTTCTGTGGAAAAAGGGGTCTAACTATTTTCTGCCTCTGCTGAGCATAAACTCAGAGGAAAATGTGAGTAATGGATGTACAACAAATGCTCTAGTGCTGTGACATAAAATTATTTGTTGGCCAAATATAGTCACTCACACCTGTAATCCCAGCACTTTGGGAGGCCGAGGCGGGTGGATCACTTGTGGCCAGGAGTTTGAAACCAGCCATGGCCAACATGGCAAAACCCCATCTCTACTAAAAATACAAAAATTAGCTGCACATGGTGGCATATGCCTGTAATTCTAGCTACTTGGGAGGCTGAGGCATAAGAATCACTTGAACCTGGGAGGCAGAGGTTGCAATGAGTCGATATCACACCACTGCCCTCCTTCCTGGGTGACAGAGCAAGACTATCTCCAAAAAAATAAAATAATTTGTTAGTAGGCAAAGTGAGATAGAATTGGCTGTATTAAGTGGTATTAAGTTGAAATACAACTCTGTTTACCTCTGCATCAAAAGACACACAATTACAAAATTATTGCAGCATAGATCACCAACAATTTAAAATGCAGTCTCGCAGCTGAACAATCCTTTTACAGATTTAACTAGCTGGGAAATTATGGATGCGTATGGTTGGACAGTCTGGGTCTGTCATGGAGAGAATGTTTGACCAATACAAAGCCCATAAAGCCTTAGAAACAAAAGTCCCTCATTGGTCTTCAACCAAACTGAATTCATAACCCCTGCTGAATCTGTCCAGAGTCCATTTGTTCCTGGGGATCACTAACTACCCAGCCATCCAGATGTGCCATGTGTATTCTGCCACCTGCTTTAGAGAAACATCTGGTGTCTTTATTACCTTGCTGTGGCTGGGCGAATTTTCCATTCCCCTCCAGGGCTCTGTCCTTTTGAGTGAGTGATGTTTATACTGCCACATACAGATTTCAAATTTACTGTCCCGCTTTCCTCTTCTTTGTGCAGTGCTGACTCATTTTCCCCAGATACTTGTTCCTATGCGGCTTGCTGTAGTCCCTTGATCTCTCTTGGCAAATGACAGTAAGGCATTTTTGAAGTGTTGGAAGGCATTTGCTGGGGTTTTATCTAGCTCTCCCTGTTTGGAATATTGGCAAAAGAGTCCCACTCTGCATTTGTATAGAATTTACCCATTATTTCTATTCCCACCTTTCAAGTTGGAACCAGGTTAGCAAATGATAGAAAATTAAATCCAGATGATTTGTGATAAGAAATATGTTTTGTGAAAAAGACCACTCAGTCATAAAGAATGCTCAGAATTAGATTATGCAAACGCTTCTATTATCACACTTTCAAGTGGTACAGGCACTCCTGATTCTGATGCAAGGCAAGGAAATTCTAGTTAGCTTTTTATTTATTTAATGTTTCTGTTTTAAATGAGCAGAAGCTCACTAAAGCGTAAAAGAAATTAGGTCTTCAATAGGGCTTGCCTGATAATCACCTGTGTGTTTCATAACCCAACAGAGATGATGAATAAATTTGCTGTGGCCTCATAGTTTATAATTTACCAATGCACTGTTTCAACAGAAATGGTTTTTATGCTCTTTAATTTCAGGAAACCTGTGATCTGGGGAAAATAAAGCCTGAGGCCAGACGATACTTGGAAAAGTCGATTAAAATGGGGAAAAGAAATGGGCTCCATCTTCCTGAACAAGTACAGAATGTAAGTTTATGTTTCCTTTTCTTATCAGAAAAAAAATGAATAAATAAAACAAAATACTAGTTGAACATCCCTAATCCAGAAATGCAAAATGCTCCAAGATCTGAAACTTTTGGGTGCCAACATGATGCTCAGAGGAAGTGCTCATTGGAGCATTTCAGGTTTTTGAAGTAGATATGCTCTGCTGGTAATAATGGGAATGTTCCAAATTCCAGAAAACTCCAAAATCTGAAATGTTTTAAGCCCCAAGCATTTCAGATAAGGGATACTCAACTTGTGCAACAGCAACAACAAAAAAAAAAAAACAGAAAATAGGGAAACAGATGGGTTATAATAAAATAACCCGTGATATAAATCCATCCACAATGTATTTTGTATTTAATGGTTTTAAATTCTGTAACTCCTGTTAACCTCATGGTGACTGACAAACAACTGATAACTTAAAATTGTTCTTTAACCTTGTACAAGTTTTATTTGTTTCATATGTGTTGAGCTTATTTTCCCTGCCCAGTTTTACATTCTTTAAGAGCTTGTTTCAGATCTGATAGTTGATTTGTATTTTTATTCCCTTAGTCATACAGCGATATGGCACTGATAATAAAATCCTTACTGATGGAGAGTTTTAAAACCAGCACTTTGAAATGGAGTATCCTATGTTTAATACATGCCCCTTAAAACAAGAGAGATTAGCTGCTGAAAGGTGCCTCTCAAACTTTTTTTTTTTTTTTTTTGAGACAGAGTCTTGCTTTGTCGCCAGGCGCTGGGCTGGAGTGCAGTGGCATAATCTAGGCTCACTGCTATCTCCACCTCCTGGGTTCAAGCAATTTTCCTGCCTCAGCCTCCCGAGTAGCTGAGACTACAGGCACGCACCACCATACCCAGCTAATTTTTGTATTTTTTAGTAGAGACAGGGTTTCACCATGTTGACCAGGATGGTCTGAATCTCTTGACCTCATGATCCACCCTCCTTGGCCTCCCAAAGTGCTGGGATTACAGGCGTGAGCCACCATGTTTTGTCTAATGCCAGTCAGGCCTTCCAGGTTCAAAAATAAACTCGGTTCCAGAATTAACCTTTTGCTTATTAGACAGGAAATATAGTCCATGATTTACTTCCAGGTCATTCTTCTAGCCAGCAGAACTGGAAATAAGTTTGGAAGAAATCCAAATCAAGTGTCGTCAGCATGTTAGCTATAACCACAGGCACCACTGAGACATGGGTACCTTTCTCCCACCTTAAGCCCTTTGAACACCTTATAACCTCTTCCTTCACCTAGTTAGAGGAGAAATGTGATTGATATCACTTACCTGACCCTTTGTGTTCCTGGTCAATTCTTAATTCTGTTTGGAGCATGAACACTGTATTAGTTAAGATATGTTTGGTTGCAGCTAACAAAACCCTGTTAAACAAGAGATTTATTTGCTTGTATCACTGGAAGGCCTGGGGTGGGGAAGCTGCATGGCTTGGTTTGATCCTGATGCACAGTAGAGTGACTGGCCACATGATTTTTCTGTTTCTCTATTCTGTCTTCCTCAGTGTTAGTTTTAACTAAAGGCTGACTTCCTTTCATTACCAAAATGGCTATAAATCTAAAAACTCCACCATCCATAAGGACATAGAAAAGCCACCAGTAAACCTTTCCTCATGTCTTAATGGCCCAGAGTGGATTCTGTTTTTAATCCTGAATTTCCTTTTAGTCAATGGAATACCAGGTCTGGGTTATCTGAACAGTCTCAAGGTCAATGAGGATGGAATGCCGGCCCAGCTGGTGTAGAAGTCACACCCTAGAGTTGCAGATAGGATCAGGTCCTCTCTGAACAAAGTGGGGCAGAGGTAGAAGGGAGTTGAAGAGAATCAGAAAACAGCACTGAACAGTGTATTAGGTCAGTAGTCTCAAATTTAGTGTGCATCAGAATTACATAGAAGGCTTATTAAAACTCTGACTATAGGACTTTTAAGAGTTTGTACTTTAGTAGGTTTAGTGTGGGGGTCTCAACAATTTGCATTTCTGCCCGGGTGCAGTGGCTCATGTCTGTAATCCCAGCACTTTGGGAGGCCAAGGCTGGTGGATCACCTGAGGTCGAGAGTTTGAGACCAGCCTGACCAGCATGGAAAAACCCATCTCCACTGAAAATACAAAATTAGCCAGGCATGGTGCTCATGCCTGTAATCCCAGCTACTCGGGAGGCTGAGACAAGATAATTGCTTGAACCTAGAAGGCAGAGGTTGCAGTGAGCCCAGATCATGCCATTGCACTCCAAACTGGGCAACGAGAGCAAAACTCCATCTCAAAACAAAAACAAAAACAAACAAAAAAAAAAACAAAGAATTTGCATTTCTAACGGCTTCCCTGGGGATACTGATGCTCCTAACCAGGGCCACACTTTGAGAAGCAGTAGATTTCATTATATAGCATTGTTAGAAGAATGGGACAGATTAATAAAATTATATCTTTTTTTTTCTGGTGATTTCTTCTTATTGCTTCCTTTCATCTCCCACCTAATACTTTTTACGCACATCTTAGGGTCTGTAAATCATCTTTGTTTACAAAAGCTCCATAAAACTTTTCCCCAAAGTAACAATAGAATGAATTACTCAGCTCTTATCTCTTGGTTTACTTCATAACCAGATGCTGAATACCAAACTAAAATTTTGAACTGGAAATGATTAGAAATATGTTAATTGGGCCGAGTGCAGTGGCTCATGCCTGTAATCCCAGCACTTTGGGAGGCCGAGGCGGGTGGATCATGAGGTCAAGAGATGGAGACCATTCTGGCCAACATGGTGAAACCCCATTTCTACTAAAAATACAAAAGCCGGGGATGGTGGCTCGTGCCTGTAGTCCCAGCTACTCGGGAGGCTTAGGCAGGAGAATCACTTGAACCCAGGAGGCGGAGATTGCAGTGAGCTGAGATCTCTCCATTGCACTCCAACCTGACAACAGAGTGAGACTCCGTCTCCAAAAAAAAGAAAGAAAGAAAGAAAGAAATATGCTAATTGGTAATGGGCAGCTAGATTTATTCATTCACTCAGCAACTATTTATTGTGTACATACTATGTGCAATATATTGTATTTACTATACATCCTAAATTTATCCTTTAAATTCACAGCGAATTCCAAAGATATCAACAGACTTGCCTTTCTGTAAGTGCTACGCACAGATGCACATGGACATGACATAGTGGACTGCAGAAACCTATTTTATCAAGCACCTCCCTACAAAAGCACTTTCTTTTTTTTTTTTTTTTTTTTTTTTGAGACGGAGTTTCGCTCTTGTTATCCAGGCTGGAGTGCAATGGCACGATCTCGGCTCACCCCAACCTCCGCCTCCTGGGTTCAGGCAATTCTCCTGCTTCAGCCTCCTGAGTAGCTGGGATTACGGGCACGCAGCACCGTGCCCAGCTAATTCTTTGTATTTTTTAGTAGAGATGGGGTTTCACCATGTTGACCAGGATGGTCTCGATCTCTTGACCTCGTGATCCGCCCGCCTCGGCCTCCCAAAGTGCTGGAATTACAGGCTTGAGCCACCGCGCCTGACCTGAGTTTCTTTTTTTTGTTGTTTGTTTTTTTGTGTTTTTTTTGAGACGGAGTTTCGCGCTTGTTACCCAGGCTGGAGTGCAATGGCGCGATCTCGGCTCACGGCAACCTCCGCCTCCTGGGTTCAGGCAATTCTCCTGCCTCAGCCTCCTGAGTAGCTGGGATTACAGGCACGCGCCACCATGCCCAGCTAATTTTTTGTATATTTTTTAGTAGAGACAGGGTTTCACCATGTTGACCAGGATGGTCTCGATCTCTTGACCTTGTGATCCACCCACCTCCGCCTCCCAAAGTGCTGGGATTACAGGCTTGAGCCACCGCGCCCGGACTCCTGAGTTTCTATTTATTGCTAATGTCCTGCATTTTTATCTTCCTTTCAGGAAATCAAATCAATGAAGAAAAGAATGAGTGAGCTATGTATTGATTTTAACAAAAACCTCAATGAGGATGATACCTTCCTTGTATTTTCCAAGGCTGAACTTGGTAAGTTTTGTTATTTTTCTAGATTAAATCATATAATTTAGGCAAATAATGTTGCCTCACAGTTTGCTTTACTTTCCAGATTCAAAATTTCTAAATCATAGTTCAAATAATTATTTAAAAAGTAATCCAGTACCTAAGCCCACCACCCCTTCTACAGAAGAGACAAATCAACCAAAATTAGATTTAGACTAATGAATATATACTATTTCTAGAGACAGTCCAGAGGGGACTTAGTTATCTTTTCTTTTTTCAGATTTTTTTGATAGTTTATACTTATGTTTAACAGCCTTCAGTGCCTTAAAATTTTTTTTGCCTTGCAATGTTTCCTGCATTGTATCTTAAAATAGTCTCTTCTTATTCAGTCCTGGGTCTTCTTGACTTAATTTTGCCTGTTCTCCACTAAAACATCATTTGCACAAGTTTACTGAAACCTGTTCATATTTTGATACCATATCCCAAGGCACCTGGCCTCTAACAGCCACCCCCATTCCAGCAACATCAAAATGATATTAAAAGGATTGTCATTATTTTACTTGAATTTCAATTACTCCACAAAAATCATAGACTTACTAAAAGGCACCATGCCAATGCTAAATACAGCAGTAATGAGTAGAAAATTTGATATATGAGAAAATGATTTTTTGCAGGTGCTCTTCCTGATGATTTCATTGATAGTTTAGAAAAGACAGATGACAACAAGTATAAAATTACCTTAAAATATCCACACTATTTCCCTGTCATGAAGAAATGTTGTATCCCTGAAACCAGAAGAAAGATGGAAATGGCTTTTAATACAAGGTGCAAAGAGGTATTATAAATGTTTGTCTTTCGTTTTTAATGGAGTGTTTTAAGAAAAAGGTTTACTTTGTTTACCAGTGTCAAAGTCAGCTCAGAGACTGCTATTCCTATTTGTGTGTGCACTGTATCTCTAATTCCTCAGACTTATAAGACTTTTAGCTTTTTCATTGCTTATTGACACCCTGCTTGATGTGGTCACAGGATAAGCTGTTCTAATAAAAATACAGTGGGTTAAATAAACTAGAAGTTGCTCCTCTCCTAAATCTACAATCCAGGACTGATGAGGCATCAGTCCCTCAACAAGTTACTTCCAAGTTCATTCCTTTCCTAGCCTGTTGGGAAGTGGAGGAAAAGAGAGCATGGAGCAAGCATCTTGTGGGAGAAAACTTGAAAATGACATACATCAACTCCATTCACATCCCATTGACCCTGATTTCATCATATCTAGCTGTAAGGAAGGCTGGGAAATGTAGTCATTAGTGGAAAGCCATTTGCTCAGAGTTGGGGGTTTTATTATTAAAAAGAAAAGTGACTAGAAATAGTGGTTGCTTAGAGATGGTTTGGAAGGAGTATAGGAGAAGAATCACAGTGGAGGGTAATCATGATGAAATTTCTAGGGGTATAATTGAAATGTTCATTGCCTTGATTATGTTGATGATTTCACAACGCACACATACGTAAAAACTAAACAAATGCTTTAAATATGAAAAAGAAAAAAGGAAGAAGTAGACATGGATTTTCAGTCGTCTAGCCAGTTCTACCATGATCTGTCTCTCTAGCTATCCAAGTAACCATGAGGAGACTTTTTTCAATACATAAGACTCATTCACCATTTGTTAATTCCCAGTTACTGCCTTAAGGTCAAAGACCAGGATCTCTGGGTGGTTGTAGCTTCTCATAATCTAGCAAACTATAAAAGGAAAGACAAGTTATCAGCTCCTCACCCCAACACCCTCCCCTCATATCCCCAGTGATGGAATAGGAAAAGAATAACTACACGAAAAGCTCCCATTTGGAAAAGGAAAAACTGGGAAACATAGCAAGCCCATAGCAATTTTCTAAAACTTTCAAATTCCTCAGGAATTGTGAAGATTCTATACTGTAGTGAAGTTTCTTGGTTAGCTTGTTGGACTAAACTTGGGTCTGCTTTCCCACAAGAATTCCTTTATTAGTTGTACTCCATGGACCCCAGTTTTACCCACAGGGAATTGTTTTTGTCTATTATCCTCGATGACCATATCTTGGGGGACTGCTGGTCCTGTTAATGCCAGGTAGAATCCCAAGAGTTGCTTAGGGATCAAATAATCACAGACTTTTGTAGGCCAGGCTTATGATATCTTTGGTAATACAGCTTCCTCAAAAACGTAGGTTTCTTGTCTGTTTGTCTCTAATCAGATGCATGTCAAAATATACCCAAATATCACTTTTGGTCATAGTTCTTAAACTTGCCAAATCTTATATACTGGCTTCTGAATTTTATCCATCTCACTCTTCCTACATTTAATGAAGTCTGCTTTCAGGCCTTCTGAACATAGTGAGCTTGTGGAGGAAGGCAGCATTCTCAAACTCATGTCTGCAGTTCAGTATCTCTGAGTGACAGCCTTTTCTCCTGACACTAGAAATAACAGAGCAGTTGGCTTTTCCAACCAGCTGAAGATTGTGGACCATAGGCAGAACCTCCCTGGAAGAATTATTTTCCTTCCATCTTTAGAAACTGGCCAATTCTCACCCACGCTCATCTCTCACATGTAATTTTTCTAAAACCAACAATTGCCAAAAACACCTGCCAACATTATTAGTTTTCCCAAACAATTTCTCTAGAGCTAAGACTCAGTAGGTACATGGCCTGCCTCCTGAGTTATGACAAACACAGTTTTCACAAATGCCCATGGTATCATGAGAATCACCAGCTTTCCAGCCTGCAGTGTCTGGGTCCTTACCTTCCATTCCAGTACGTTTTTCATTTTTATTGTTAGTAGTGCCCTATTTCTGGTATTAATATCTACATGTGTCAGGGTCCAGGCTAAGGGACTTTACAGAAGTCAAAAGCATGGAAGCTCAAATAAGATGAAACGTATTTCTTTAGAAGTTACCAGGGAATGGGAGAGGGAAGACTGGGGAGTTAATGGTTACAGAGTTTCTGTTTTGGGTAATGGAATAGTTTTAGCAACAGATCATGATAGTGGTTACACAACAGAATGAGTATTATTACCATTGAATTTTACATGGCTAAAATGGCAGATTTTACCACAATTTAAAAAAAAATTGTCTTGTAACTATAAGTCAAACGGTGAGTGGTCCAGAGGTAGAAGACAGCTCTACCATCCTCCGTGTGTGGCTTTCAGGGTCATTGTTGTCATCTTCAGTTCACAGCTAGCAAGGCAAAGATCTGTCAGACATGACCCAGAAATTTCACTCATCACTTCATTCACATCCCATTGTCCCATTGAGTATCACATGGCCACAACTAGCTTTGAGGAAGGCTGGGAAACATAATAGGTAACCAAGTGTTCAGCAAAAATTTAGAGTGGCTCGCACTTGTAATCCTAACACTTCCAAGAGGCCAAGGTGAGAAGATTGCTTGAAGCCAGGAGTTCAAGACCAGCCTGAGCAACATGGCAAGACCTCATTTCTACAAAAACTTTAAAAAAAAAAAAAATCAGAGTTTTATTACTAAAATAAAAAGTGAGAGAACAGATATTGGGAGAAAATTGGCAGTGTAGAGAGAAGATCTGGAGAAACTGAAAAAAATGAAAGAAAAATACAACTAAACTATTTAATTTATAACTTGGAGAATTACATTATGTGTATTTCTCTTTTCTATGTTTTCATTTTAGTTTTAAAATAATAATTATAACAGATAATTATATAGTGTTTGGTTATGTGCCAGACAGTTTTTCTAAGCACTTTACATATATTATCATTTGAATCTTCATGATTACTCTTCATTGTAGGTACTTTTATTTTCTATGTCTTGCAAATGAGAAAACTGAGGCTCAGAAAGCTACAAAATTTGCCCAAGATCAGGTAACTAGTAAATGGTGGAACCAAATTTTGAACATAGGCAGTGTGACCTCAGTGTGTGCTTTTCCTTAGAAAGCAGTCTGTAAATAATTTGCTGATTTGATTATTAGGATTAGTTTTCTCTTTTACTTTAACATTATTTACTTCCTCTAGAAGAATTACTTTTTATTTCGTTATTAAGAAAATAATAAAATAATGTCCATTTTTATCTTTGTAAATACAAATAAAATGTAAAAGATATTTGTAATGTTAACTTGGGAAGAGTCCCTGAAACTTTTTGGTTTTTTTTGAGAGGGAGTCTTGCTCGGTCATCGAGGCTAGAGTACAGTGGAGTGATCTCTTCTCACTACAACCTCCGCCTCCTGGGTTCAGGCAGTTTTCCTGCCTCAGCCTCCCAAGTAGCTGGGATTACAGGCACCTGCCACCACAACCCCCTAATTTTTGTATTTGTAATAGAGACGGGTTTCACCATTTTTGTGAGACTGGTCTCAAACTCGTGACCTTGTGGTCCATCTGCCTTGGCCTCCCGAAGTGCTGGCATTACAGGTGTGAACTACCACACCCAGCCCCCTGAAATATTTTTAAAAGCAGAATTTTATAGTATCTCAGTTCATTTTTGCTGCTATAACAAAATACCACAGATGAAGTAATTTATAAACAATAGAAAATTTTCACAGTTCTGAAGGCTGAGAAACTCAGGATCAAGGCACCAGGATTCAGTGTCTAGAAAGGGCCTTTTTCCCGTGTCTTCACATGGAAGAAGGGGGAAGGGCAGAAAAGGCCCAAGTTTCTTAGCTCCAGCCCTTTGATAAGGCACTAATTCATTAGTCACTTCCCTGCCTTTTAACACTACCACAAAAAGGAATACATTTCAACACATTCATTTTGGGGGACATTCAGACCAGAGCATGTGGTATTAATTATGTTCACATTCAGAATATGTGTATATTGTTCTGCAGCCATCACCTCCATCTACCTGCAGAGCTTTTTCATGTTCCTTAACTGAAACTGTACCCATTAAGCATTAACTCCCCATTATCTCCTTTCCCCAGGCCCTGGCAATTACTATTCTACTCTGTGTTTCTGAATTTTACTACTCTAGGAACTTCATATAAGTGGAGTCATAAAATATTTCTTTTTGTATCTGGCTTATTTCACTTGGCATACCTTAAAGGGTCATCCATGTTGTAGCATGTGTCAGAATTTCTTTCCTTACAAAGGCAGAATTCTATTCCATTGTTTATCTCTGCCACATTTTGTTGACCTATACATCTGTCCATGGGCACTTCAATTGCTTCCATCTTTTGGCTGTTGTAAATAATGCTGCTGTGAATATGAGAGGGGGAGATCTCTCTTTGAGTCTCTGCTTTCAATTATCTTTGTTATACACTGAGATGTGGAATTGCTGGATCATATGGTTTAACTTTTTTAGGAATTGCCAGAGCATTTTCTACACCAGCTGAACTATTTTACATTCTCATCAGCAATGTACAAGGGTTCCAATGTCTCCATTTCCTCACCAGCACATTTTCTGTGTTTTTAAAAATAGTAGCCATACAAATGGGTATGAAATGAAAATGATATGTTTTATGTTATATATATTTTACCACAGTAAAAATGTCCAAAAGAACTGAAAGTACCAAAATTTGGTACAGTTCTGTCAGTAAAAGTAAATATGGATTCACTGTATTCCTTAAAAATATTTTTTCACTCTTAAGTTTATAGCACCTACTGTTTTACTAAGACCTCATAGTTCTCTCCTGAGATTTAAAAAGTCATAAATTATTTATGAAATTAAACTAAATCATGAAGCCAAAAAAAAAAAAAAAAGTCTGTAACACTGAAATGGAACCTGAAGTTTAAATGGTCTAAAAAATATTTGACAATTTTACAAAACTAAAGATACATACAAGTAATTCTTCCTTTTAGTGCTTTGGTTCGTATTATTGATTAACCTTGGTTTTGTTGCTGTTGTTTATTATTAGGAAAACACCGTAATTTTACAGCAGCTACTCCCACTGCGGGCCAAGGTGGCTAAACTACTCGGTTATAGCACACATGCTGACTTTGTCCTTGAAATGAACACTGCGAAGAGCACGAGCCACGTAACAGCCTTTCTAGGTTAGTTTTTTTTTTTTTCCTATGACTGTTTTGCTGTACCATGCGAACCGGACAGAAGGCCTCAAAACATAATATGCCTTTGAGGACATCCTACTTTTCATTGATTCGAGAGAAGTATATTGATCACTTATTATGTGTTAGATAGTATGCTTGGTTCTGGGGACTGCTCATTATTTATATTGCTAGTACAGGCTTGGCTTCACTCTATCTTATATCTTGTTTGGGCTTTTTATAGTAATTTCTAACATGACATCTAGGTTCTAACAGAGAGTTATTAAAGTTATTGGCTTTATTCACTGTCACTAGGTATTTAGCAGTCATCACATGGCTGCTTATGAATTTGTATAAAATAAGCTGACAAATATGACATACATGAAAATAGAACTTATATAAACAAAAATCATTTAATATTCCAGAAACCACTTGTTAATATACAAAAGTAATATAAAATAATATTCATTAAAAACGATTACCTAATAAACTACAATATAAAATGATTACATCAAAACTATTAGCTATATTAACTATATTAACATTAATTTAAACTCCATAAATGGTACGTATTTGTTATTGTATAATTCACTCACTCATTCATGAGACATTTGTGAAATAACTATCCAGCCTTAGGCAGTATGTTAAATAGTAGGATTACAGAAAGGAATAAGACAACGTCTTTTTGGCTGGACATGGTGGCTCAAGCCTCTAATCCCAGCACTTTGGGAGGCTGAGGTAGGAAGACTGCTTGAGGCCTGGAGTTCAAGACCAGCCTGGGAAACAAAGAGATCCCAACCCTGTCTTTACAAAAAGTTTTAAAAATTAGCCAGGCATGGTGGCATGTGCCTGTAATTCTAGCTACTTGGGAGGCTGAGGTGGGAAGATCCCTTGAGCAGAGGAATTCAAGGCTGCAGTGAGCCATGATCACGCCACTGTGCTCCAGCCTGGGTGACAGGGCAAGACCCTGTCTCTAAAAATAAAAATAATTTTTAAAAAAGAGACAAGGTCCTTTTCTCAATGGACTTATCACTTACTAGAAACAACAGAAGTGTGGACAGATAATTGCTCTATGGTCTGATGCATGGTATATAAGAGGATGGCTCAGAGAGTTAACAGGTTTGTAGAGAATGTTTCCTTCACTGGTGATTGCATACACTGAAATTTTCCTTAGTAACCACCTGATTAACTTGATTCATTTAAGAGATTTTTCCTTCTAATTTGAAATTGGCATATTCCTATGTAAATTGCCTTCTTGGGGGGCTAAGGTGGGAGAATCTCTTGAATCTGGGAGTTGGAGTCGAGCCTGAGCAACATAGCAAAACTCTGTGTGTGTGTGTGTGTGTGTGTGTGTGTGTGTGTGTTCGCGCGCGCGCGTGCATGTGCACACACACATATATATGGAAAACTAGACCTTTGTATCCTCCATGAGTTTCCTCATTTCTCTTCACAGCATTCCTTGGCTGCTCCTCCATCTCTCACATTGTGGGGTTGCCTCCTGAACTGCCATATCCTTTGCAGGACCAGGCACATTTTTATCTTAACATATGTAACAAAATGCGAAAAATAAATACATAAGAGCATACTCATTTCTCCAAATACAGTAAAATGAAAATTTGACCACAGCAATATAATTTGTAGTTTCCAGAAGTTTCTCCAGCTAAAAACTGGAATTGCTGTGTCCAGATAGACCTTCTTCATAGAAATGGGTTAATGAGAAACTAAACCCATGGCTGTTGAATGCATTGATAGGAATTTCTGGATACCACTGACCATAGATTACATCTGATGTGTTTTCCCTAGCTTTCTTAGGAGTCTGACTAACCTCACTGAAGAATAATCATGTACATGAGTTTAATTTCATTATTGCTTTGTTCCCTAAATTATAACATTCTTGAATCAGAGTTCTCTGAGATAAATTTCAGCTTTGTTGATAAATTGAGGAACTCATGGCCCAGTTTTGGTGGTGTTAAAAGAAAAAGGGTTTAGGACCATAGAAATCAATAACCCCAAAGAGCAAATTGTGCTTCCATAAAAGAGCCTACTTTTCTCCCTTACTTTTTCCCTCTTCTTTTCCCTCTTTCCACCTGGTTTATCTGTATTGAGTACTGCAAAGGAGGAAGTACCATGCTAAAACATGGGTGGTATGTATGATTATGCTTGCTCTCAGGCGCAAGAAGATCACTAACTTTCCCACTTCCTTCACAGATGATTTAAGCCAGAAATTAAAACCCTTGGGTGAAGCAGAACGAGAGTTTATTTTGAATTTGAAGAAAAAGGAATGCGAAGAGAGGGGTTTTGAATATGATGGGAAAATCAATGCCTGGGATCTACACTACTACATGACTCAGACAGAGGAACTCAAGTACTCCATAGACCAAGAGTTTCTCAAGGAATACTTCCCAATTGAGGTGGTCACTGAAGGCTTGCTAAACACCTACCAGGAGTTGTTGGGACTTTCATTTGAACAAGTGACAGATGCTCATGTTTGGAACAAGAGTGTTACACTTTATACTGTGAAAGATAAAGCTACAGGAGAAGTTTTGGGACAGTTCTATTTGGACCTCTATCCAAGGTACTGGGAATCACATTGTTGGAAGGGACTTTAGGGATTCAACTCCTACCTACTTTAAGACTCTACTCTTGGCCAGGCACAGTGGCTCATGCCTATAATCCCAAAGCTTTGGGAGCCCAAAGTGGGAGGATTGCTTGAGGCTAGGAGTTTGAGACCAGCCTGGGCAACACAGTGAGGCCCAGTCTCTACCAAAAATTTAAAAATTAGGTCAAGCTTGGTGGCTCATGCTTGTAGTCCCAGCACTTTGGGAGGCTGAGGCAGATGGATTGCTTGAGTCTAGGAGTTCAAGACCAGCCTGGGCAACATGGCAAAACCCTGCTGCTACAAAAATCAGCTGGGTGTTGTGGTACATCCCTGTACACCCAGGTACTTGAGAGGTTGAGGTGAGAGGATCACTTGAGCCTCAGAGGTGAAGGCTGCAGTGAACCGAGATTGTGCCACTGTGCTCCAGCCTGGGTAACAAAGCAAGTCAATCAAATAAGTACCGTATTTGATGAAATGAGTATGCTTTTATGTATTTATTTTTTATGTGTCTCAACAACAACAAAAAATTAAAAATTAACCAGGCGTTGTGGTGCACACCTGTAGTCCTAACTGCTGAAGCAGGAGGATCACTTGAGCCCCGGAGTTTAAGGTTACAGTGAGCTGGGATCACATTGCTGCATTCTAGCCTAGGTGATAGAGCTAGACCCTATCTCTAAAAAATTAAGAAATAAAAAAGACTCTACTCTTTCGTATTTCTCACATGGGATTCTTAGTATAGAGGTTTAAAATGTGGGCTCTGAAGCCAGGATATCTGTCTTCATCATTTACTCGATAAGTTACTTAATTTTTCTGTGCCCCAGTTTTTGTACCTATATTATAGATTCTATAAAATGGGAGTCCTACTAGTACCTGCTTTGTATGGTCATTGTAAGGATTCAATTGGTTAAATACATGCAAAGCATTTAGAAGACTGCTCAGCACATAGTAAAGGCTTAATCAAAGTTAGCTGCTACCATTGTCATTATCATCATCATCTAGTTTGTGTACTACATTTACGTAATTTAATGTTGACCATTGGCCAATATTACTTAATTTAGTATTAACCACTGGCCACGCATGGTGGCTCACACCTATAATCCAAGCATTTTGGAAGGCTGAGGTGGGCAGATCACTTGAGGTCAGGAGTTCGAGATCAGTCTGGCCAACATGGTAAAACCCCATCTCTACTAAAAATACAAAAATTAACCAGGTACCTGTAGTCCCAGCTACTTGGGAGGCTGAGGCATGAGAATACCTTAAACCCTGGAGTCAAGATCGTGCCACTGCACTCCAGCCTGGGTGACAGAGCAAGACTGTAACTCAAAAAACATAAATAAATAAAATAAAATGGACCACCAAGATGTTTATTATCAGGTAATCTGTCTGCCAGTACTCTCACATCTATGGCCACACCCTTCAGTCTGAGAGGCTACACAGTTTAGTAGAAGTAGCAAAATCTTTGTAGTCAGTCACATTTGAGTTTGAATGCTTGAGTGACATAACCTCTTTGAGATTCTGTTTCTTCCTCCGTAATATGGGACTGAAAATCCTTTTACAGGATTGTTTTATGCATTAAAGACTATATGCAAATCATGTCACTCAGACATTAGTTGTAAGAATTATAAAAATGTTGTTATTGTGTCTGTAGCCTGTAGTATCTATAGATTCCATAGTGTTTCGTCAGACACAAAAGGATTTGCATTTCTTTCTCCACGGGCTACTTTCTAAAACAAAGTCAACCTGTTACAGTTACTAATCATTTTACTAAATAGACCAAAGGAAAGTATAGTATCCCTCTCATTGAGTAATACATACAAGTTTGTAATACACTGATTTTGAAAAGTAGGTTCAGTACCTGTGTCAGCCAGTTGGTGGGCAGAAGTGTCTTTTAGCACCTAAGTGATTATCCCAGTGTATTAGTCCGTTTTCACAATGCTATAAAGTGACTGAGACTGGGTAATTTATAAAGGAAAGAAGTTTAATTTACTTACAGTTCTGCAGGCCTGGGAGACCTCAGGAAACTTAAAATCATGGCAGAAGGGGAAGTAAACACATCCTTCTTCATGTGGTGGCAGGAAGGGGAAGTGCCAAGCAAAGAGGGGAAAGCCCCTGAACCACCAAATCTTGTGAGAACTCACTCACTATCATGAGAATGGCATGGGGTTAACTACCCCATAAATCAATTACCTCCCACCAGGTCCCTCCCACAACACATGGGGATTATGAGAACTACAATTCAAGATGAGATTTGGGTGGAGACACAACCAAACCATATCACCTGGTACTTCATGGACTTACTTTCTATTGGAGTAATTTAGTATTGGAGTCTCCTATAACTGTCCTCAGATTTTCTTTCCAGTGTGGAAGAACAGTTCTTACTACTTCATTCTGCTGTCCAACTGCCAAGATATGATTGATTTCTTTTGTACTCAGAGATCTGGTCACTGCTACCAGTACCCTGGTATGGGTACCAGAGAGTAATCTTTGTGAAAGTATAGTGACCTAGTTAGTATTTACTTTCCATCATCTTACATGTTTTCTTCATAAAGGTAAAAGAGATTAACTTGTTTTATTTGCCTAACTGACTTTTAAAAAGGGTATTCAGAATAGGTTTTAAAAAGACCATGTACTGGCCGGGTGCAGTGGCTATAATCCAGCACTTTGGGAGGCCAAGGCAGATGGATCACTTAAAGCCAGGAGTTGAAGACCAGCTTGGCCAACATAGTGAAACCCCATCTCTACTAAAAATACAAAAATTAGCTGGGCGTGGTGGCAGGTGCTTGTAATTCCAGCAACTTAGAGGCTGAGGCAGGAGAATTGTTTGAACCCAGGAGATGGAAGTTGTAGTGAGCCAGGATCTTGCCACCATACCCCAGCCAGGGCAACAGCGTAAGACTCCATCTTAAAACAGCAACAAAAAATTAACCAGCATGGTGGTGCAGGCTTGTAATACCAGCTACTCAGGAGGCAGAGACAGGAGAATTGCTTAAACCTGGGAGGCGAAGGTTGCAGTGAGCCGAGATTGTGCTACCGTACTCCAGCCTGTGTGACAGAGCAAGACTCTGTCTTAAAAAAAAAAAAGACCAGGGACTATGAGTCTTCTGAGCAAAAGAAAATGGGGAAAGGACACCTACTCCTAGAATGAACTAATAGCTTTTGGAGAGACCATCATGGATACTACATTGTGTAAGAATAGACTAATTGATGGTATAATTAATGCATTTTCCCAGGCTAACTAAAAGCATTCTGTTTCAAAAAGACCTGTCTAGTTTATAAAAGAAGCTCATTTAATTGTGATTATTGATTCTTTACTTCTCAAATTAAAGGAAAAACCTAATTGTCTGAAATTCAGTTTTTTATTAATTCTGATTTTAATGAAAAGGCCGCCTAGTGAGTCAAACTGTATCTTTTATTTCAAATGTGTGCTTTAACATTGTTTAGTGTTTAATAATCCCATCTTTGAAAATGAAAAGTAGAATTTCATTAAAATAAATTGGACATTCAGCTGTCGGTGTGACATGCATTCTTCATTCTTACCTCGAGATTTTCAACAAAAGAACCTTTGGAGTTGTGACTCACACAAAATGATAGTGGGTTTATTGTTTGTTTGGTTTTATTTTTTCCATTTTAGCAAAATGTCCTACTTTCTAAAAGGTAAATCAATGTTTAAAATTATCTCTAGTAACAGATACGGTTTAATGACTGGAAGAGGCCATGCCATATAGTTGCTAGACGAGAATTTTCCTATCTTGCCAATGCATATTTATGGCTCCTAGGGAAGGAAAATACAATCATGCAGCCTGCTTCGGTCTCCAGCCTGGCTGCCTTCTGCCTGATGGAAGCCGGATGATGGCAGTGGCTGCCCTCGTGGTGAACTTCTCACAGCCAGTGGCAGGTCGTCCCTCTCTACTGAGACACGACGAGGTGAGGACTTACTTCCATGAGTTTGGTCATGTCATGCATCAGATTTGTGCACAGGTGAGTTTTTTGTTTGTTTGTTTTCTTGGTTTGTTTTTCCCTAGTACACCTGTCAATTGTTTTTTTCAGAAAACTTTTTTACTGCTGTCAAGTTTCTGCTCCTAACATGTTTTTTCAGAAGCTGAATGGGTTCAAGAATTTTACAGGCCTTCTGCAAAACCAAAATTTTCCTTATCCTGTCCCCTTTCACAGCATATTTTTACTTGGAGATTCATCTACCAGTGAAAGAGGCTTATTGAATAATAACCTATTGGAAAAGAATAAGACCATCTGAAAGGAAAGGTTACAGATATTTTGCTTTTTCCTTTTTGTCCTATTCCATCGGAATTTGGTATACATTTCTCAGAAAAACTGTGCTGTTATCTGTCTCTTCTGCTTATCAATGCTTTGTTTACTTCAATTGTTTTCAGCCCTCTTAGACCCTTTACTCATTCTAAATAGTAATTTTGTAACATTTCCCTTTACTAACTTCAAATTAAAATGACAGATAATATAGTATAACCATACAAAGAAGTTGCCAGAGTGAATGTGTGTGTGTACAGTAGATTAAACTGATATTTTTATTTTTGAAAATAAAAAGTACATTTATTCACAACTTTGTAATACAATCCATTTAATTAGGTCCAGACTGTTATAGTGTGAACCGTATGAACTTGGTAACATTTAACCATTATTGACATAAAGATGTCTAGTTCAGTAATTCAAACTAATAGTTGAAATATACTGTTATTGGCCAGCCATGTAATCCCAGCACTTTGGGAGGCTGACGTAGAAGGATTGCTTCAGTCTAGGAGTTTAAGACCAGCCTGGTCAACATGGTAAACTAAACAAAAATACAAAAATTATCCAGGCATGGTGATATGTGCCTGTGGTCCCAGCTACTTGGGAGGCTGAGGTGGGAGCATCTCTTGAGTCCAGGAGGTTGAGGTTGCAGTGAGCCATGATTGTGCCACTGCACTCCAGCCTGGGTAACAGAGCAAGACCCTGTCTCAAAACAAAAACAAAACAAAACAAAAACACTCAAAAAACTGAGAGTAACAAAAATGAAGGGATAGTTTTCCCAATTTTAAATTTCTATATGTCTCTAAAGGTAAACTTAACAACAACAAAATCCTTTTTTTAATAGAAAACTTGTAAAGATAGTAAAAGGATTGCCTGTATACCCCTTCCCCTCCCAGCCCTACTTCTAACATCTTCCAGTACAATAGCACATTTGTCATAGCTAAGAAGCCAGCGTTGATACAGTACTCCTGACTGAACCCCACAGTTTATTTGGAATTTATTAGTTTTTCCCTAATGGTTTTTATACAGAGAATCTTTTAAAATCAGTATGATGTCCTCACTGAATGTAGAAAGAAGAAATGTTTGTGTTTTTCAAGTGATAATACTTGGACATGACTATGTAGTAAGACATAATGAAGTGTGCCGGGGGTTTGTGCCATAGGGAAGTAACCCTGAATGGAGCAGCAGCAAGTGCAGACTGATTGAAGTGGTTTATGTTGTCAGCTCAAGTCCTAGAACAGTGCTGACAGTGGTGGCATGATTTCCAAAATGATGAGAAACTCTAAAAAAAGTAATCTAACTTCAATTTACACAGTAGATCCTAGTACTTGTAGCGTTAGAAATTTAAATTGTGTAAAAAATCCTTCGCATGGTTAGGCATGGCGGCTCACACCCGTAATCCCAGCAGTTTGGGAGGCCGAGGCTGGCAGATCACCTGAGCTCAGGAGTACAAGACCAGCTGGGCAACACTGTGAAACCCAGACTCTACAAAAAATACAAAAATTAGCCAGGCATGATGGCACACACCTGAAGTCCCAGCTACTCGAAAGGCTAAGGCAGGAGGATTGCCAGAGCCCAGGAGGTCAAGGTTGCAGTGAGCTGTGTTCGCGCCACTGCACTCCAACCTGGGTGACAAAGTGAGACCTGTCTCCAAAAAAATAAATGCTTTGCAAAAGTATGTACAGTGGTGGTAGTTTTTTGGCTCAGTTAATGATAGTTTTTTTTATTTATGTGGATAGTCCAGCAGAGTGTGTGAATGACACACAGTATATGGAACAGTCTTTTTGTTGTCCTGACATGTGCAGAATCAGTCCTGTGCATCCAGCATTCCTATATCCCTGAGTAGCCCTAATCATTGTAATAACCCAAAATGTACCTGTTCATTTCCAAAATGCTAACACCTTTGTTTAAAAACTGTTTGGTTCTTTCAACATTTTATCTTTATCCTGGTGCTTCCATCTTTTGTTTTAGGAAACGGGGGAATAATATATGAATATAACCAGATAAATGTCCTGATTTAGCCTTGCGGTTTTTTTTTTTTTCCTTAGAGACAGAGTCTAACTCTATTGCGAGGCTGGAGTGCAGTGACGTGATCTCGGCTCACTGAAACCTCCACCTCCTGGGTTCCAGCAATTCTTCTGCCTCAGCCTCCTGAGTAGCTGGGACTACAGGCACGTGCCACCATGCCCAGCTAATGTTTGTATTTTTAGTAGAGATGGAGTTTCACCCTGTTGGCCAGGATGATCTCCATCTCTCGACCTTGTGATCTGCCTGCCTTGGCCTCCCAAAGTGCTGGGATTACAGGAGTGAGCCACCACACCAAGCCAACATCACCATTTTCAATCTCACTTTAATCCAAGGAAAATAAATCTTTCAGAATAATCTAATCTTTCTTTCTTAGGTGATTTTAAAATCTATTATCATAGTCTGGGCATGGTGGTTTACACCTATAATCCCAGCACTTTGGGAGGCCAAGGCAGGCAGATCACCTGAGGTCAGGAGTTTGAGAACAGTCTGGCCAACATGGTGAGACCCTGTCTCTATTAAAAATAAAAAATTAGCCGAGTGTGGTGGCATGCACCTGTAGTCCCAGCTACTCAGGAAGCTGAGGCAGGAGAATTGCTTAAATCCAAGAGGCAGAGGTTGAGGTGAGCTGAGATCACACTCCAGCCTGGGCGACAGGGTGAGACTCTGTCTCAAAAAAAACTATTATCATAGCACTGGCTGAACATGGCGGTTCATGCCTGTAATCCCAGCACTTTGGGAGACCAAGGTGGGAGGATTGTTTGAGCCCAGGAGTTCTAAGACCAGCCTGGGCAACATGGCAAAAACCCATCTGTACCAAAAATACAAAAAAATTAGCCGGGTGTGGTGGTGTGTGCCTCTAATCCCAGTTATTGGGAGGCCGAGGTGGGAGGATGGTTTGAGCCTGGGAGGTGGAAGTTGCAGTGAGCTGAGATTGCAGTGAGCTGAGTTGCAGTGAGCCTCCAGCCTGGGCGACAGGGCCAGAACCTGTCTCAAAAAGTAAAATAAAATAAAATAGGCCAGGAGTAGTGGTTCATGCCTGTAATCAAAGCACTTTGGGAGGGCCAGGCAAGCAGATCACCTGAGGAGGTCAGGAGTTCGAGACCAGCCTGGCCAACGTGGCGAAATCCTGTCTCTACTAAAAATACAAAACTTAGCTTGGTGTGGTGGCGCATACCTGTAATCCCAAATACTCAGGAGGGTGAGGCAAGAGAATCGCTTGAACCAAAGAGGTGGACACTCCCATGAGCCAAGATCACACCACTGCACTCCAGCCAGGGCAACAGAGTAAGACTCCATCTCAAAACAAATAATAAAAATAAAAAATAAAATATATTATCATAGCACTAGGATCCCTAAAATATTTATTATGTGAACCTCCAATCAGTGTCCACTCTGTGGTTGACATTTCCTTTAATTAGGATAACTCCAGTTTACATTTAAAAAAACATTTTTGTGAATAACTTAGAAAAGTCAAAAATATTTTTCTTAATTTTAGACTTTTGATATATTACTTAGATTATCTAAAATCCAGTTATATATTTGTACATAGATTAATAATGACCACTTTTAAAATAGTGGATGCTCACATTTTTGGATCTGAGGACCCTATGAAAATCTGATTTATGCTGTGGATAACTCTTGTAGAAAAATTCACCTACAAATATGGGTGAAATTCCAAAGGCTGCAGACTCCTTGAAGCCCTGACTGTAATGAATCCTAAGTTAAGAACTCCTGAGTTAGAGCAGTTTCCTTCTTATTTGGATCTAACTCCTGAGTTAGAGCAGTTTCCTTCTTATTGACTATCTGCTGGTGGTTTCACAGGGAAGCATTTTGGTCTTTTAATCACATTTATTAAGATAACAGTAGTGATCTTCAGATAGAGTTTTCAGTGCTCTTGATGGTTATTCTTTTTCAGGCACAGTCTTCATATAAACTTATTATCATATACTTATCACGTATTGGGTCAGTTCTCCACAACTCATTCTATATTCTTTTGTTCCCATTGTTTCTTTTTCTTTTTCTTCTTTTATTTTTTGAGATGGAGTCTTGCTCTGTCAGGCAGGCTGGACTGCAGTGGTGCGATCTCAGCTCACCGCAACCTCCGCCTTCTGGGTTCAAGTGATTCTCCTGCCTCAGCCTCCTGAGTAGCTAGGATTACAGGCACGTACCACCACGCCTGGCTAATTTTTGTATTTTTAGTAGAGATGGGGTTTCACCATGTCAGGCTGGTTTCGAACTCCCGACCTCGTGATCCTACCTGCCTTGGCCTCCCAAAGTGCTGGGATTACAGCCGTGAGCCACCATGCCTGGCCTGTTCCCATTATTTCTTATATTAATTGTGATCCTTTGAGATAGTCACTTTAGTATTGGAAAATCTTTTCTTGGTACTATGACATTTTAGAGCTGTCCAACTCATAACTGAACTATTAATATGTATATTGCATTCACCAGCTTAGCGTATCTCTCTTGAAACAGAAGACATATTCAGTTCTTCAAGTTTTGCCTAACCCCATTCATGAGCACAAAATGTGTCATACTGATGAATAGTGTGTTGGTACAATTCTTTGCTTGGTCATATCCTCATGAGATTATCTTTGAAAAAATCTCTTCTTGTCTATTAATTCTTTCAGATATCCTGTAATATTTTAAGAACTGTTAAGGTCATCACCAGTGATCACCACTTTTGTTTT